TGGAGAAACCGAAAACAGTTTTTTTTTATCATCTCCCAATCATTCGCCGTCTGAGAGCTGATTTCCCCTGTTCGGCCCAGCATGCTATGCTAAGGAGGTACTGTGTTATCGCAAGTTCGACCGCAAGCGTGAAGGTTTTTTTCGAGGGTTCCACGAGAACTTGAGAACTAGTAACTACCACGTGAATCTTCCGGCTCGTAGTAAAAGAAAGTTATCCGATAATTAAAAAATTATTACACTTACTCCTTACACTCGGCGTGCCCTGTACGACTAACTGCCTGTGGCAAAGAAAATGTCTCGCGTACGGCGTACGGCAAACCGCTGAGTGGTTAATGGAAAATGTCCTTATCTGTGATCTTCCTTACGAGTCTCCGCGAAAATCCTTTTTCCCTACCTCACCATCATCGAGGCATAATTTCCTGACTTAATTCAGAGAAAGACTATCATAATTTAAAAAATGAAAAAATTGTGGCGCAGGATAATATTCTTAAATATTACCATTATTTAAGGAGGTTGAAATCGATATTTCACTCATTCCAACTCCATTTTATTGGTTCGCGAAGCAAACACTTCAAAACAGCGCCGTAGTGTCGGAGGGCACGTGCCCCCCCCCCCCCCCCACTTTCCCCTCCACTCTGTGTTTATGCTTCCAAAACCTTTCCTTACCCACCAGTAGAAACGGCTTAGGGGGAAAGTGGACCTGCATATCGCATGATGCAAAATTTGACTTGGAGAAATGGGGCACGAATACGAGAACGCGCGGGAAAGGGAGCGAAAGCTGACATGATCACGCCTGCTCTCCTGCCAGCCAACCGCCCGAAACAGATGACCCTGGGAGTCGCGAACCTCTGGCTCTCGGATACGGGAATGGCGCCTGCGCGACGAGTGGTTACGTCATCCTTGACGTTGAGGGATGGACTTGCATCCCGTTTCGGCCTAAGCGATCGCCGAAACCCGTAATTTCAATGCAGCCCTCTCGCTCTTCGTGGAATGCCTCGTCCCTCCGAATAAAGGAATTTTCGAGTCATAACTCTCTTGCTGCATGCAATAAGTTCATTTTGCGTTTTCGACGATGCGAGTGCCATTCTAGTTGTTTTTCTTTTTAAGATTGCAGTAATAGGCCTAAGCTAATTTTCACCGTTCCCCGAAAGCAAGTCTGAGATTGTATTGCGAACGAGTATCATCGACGTGGGTGAAGTCTCGGCAAAACTGTGGATGCGTTAAAACATTTCTTTTCCTGAAGATTCCGTTTCCTTCCCGTCCGTCCGATTCGAATCTAACAGGCCTGGCGACGTATGAATGGATTTCGTAAGTAGCATATTAGCATGGAAGCTCACCTCACACGATTTCGTTGAATCGTCATTTGGCCTTCCTTCACGACTCACTCTCCTTGTCCATATTAGCAGTCATGACGGACCCGCAAGGAAGCAAAACGGCTTCAATCCGATTTTGGGAGGAGTTGCTGCAGCCGAATGCAATGGTGACTACGCAGATATTCTGTTGTGCATGGTGAAAACTGAAGAACTGCACGGAGAAGAGCCGCCTCTCCGCCATATTGGAGGCCTAGGGAGGACTAGTCTGGACAGGACTTACTAGTCACGTGACTAGTAGCAGTCCAATTAGCAGCGTCGAAAGGCGGCAAGGCGATCGAGAGGTGTCCACGGTTGTGCACCATATACAGAGGCTGCTACCGTGATATGCAACAAGATGGTCTTTCAGAATACGACTCGTCCGGACAGCGCAGGGACCTACGATATTCTTCCAAAGAAACTGCTCGAAATGGGAAGTGGGTGTTTTCTACCTGATTTTGCTGCGTGCTCCGTCTACTTCTCTCTGGCGGTTCGTGATCTTCAGCGGTCAACGGAGATCAGATCCTGGATCAGATCGTCAACGGATGCAAGGTAAGCCCGGGCCATCTTTACCTCCAATGGCGATCTATTGCTGCCGCATATCAAGAGCTGACCGTGTTTGTTCCTAGTCCAGGATTTAGAAACGCTTCGTCGAAGCCGTGTAAGAGAAGCAACACAACTGCCAGCGGACTGGCAGGATGCTTCAATTCATCGGAATTTTCATCAGTCACTCTGGCATACTCAATAGCAAAGGTCATGGACTCCAGGTGAATATGTCCAATGTGTGAGAACACGAGCCTCGGGCATGCCTTTTGCTAACAGCTCAGCTAGCTCTACTGAGGCCCCCAGCGTTCGATGACGTCATTTTAAGGGTTAGTTGCTCAGCGTTCTCGTTGATCTGCTTGCCCAACAGTGACGTCATTCGACGACGTGGTCGCACCTAGCCATCGCTTCTTTTTCGCCGGCAGCTGCTAGCAGCTGGAGAAAAAAACGCGCCCCTCCTGAAATCAAAGACTGTACAACGTTTCCTCAGTTCTCGTGATTGCGTGGGCCAAGGTCGGGAAAGTGACGGACCGCGAAGTCCTCTTCCGCAGTTGGTTTCGGAAAAGTGCGGCAAATCTCAGCCGGTTCCATTTAAAAAGGTTGTGTAAGATTCGTTGGTGTGAGCCCCAGCCACCCCAGAAAGGTTCGACGAATTTCAAGATGTCTGTGACGTGTTCGTATGTCGATGAATTTTTTCCTAAAACAGGTTTCAAGTCGCCATTGTCGCCTTCACCAAATACTTCGCGGAAGATAAATAAATACCCGGTGGCGCAAAAAACGCGCCGAGATTTTTTGCATTCATATCTCAACTTTCAGAGGAGATGCAGACCTTGAAATCATAATTTTCTTTCGCATGAAACCTATGAATTTCTAGCTTCGAATGTACACTCACAGTAGCTGTTCGACCAAGGTACCTCGAAAATGTTCAATTACGTCTGATCTCATCCAAAAAGTTGCGCAATGGGTCTTCCTCCAAGATGATCTCATTCCGGGCCCGTTGAATGTTGGCTCCATGTTCGGCAATGGAGTGATTCATCTTGGATTGCACGTATTCGTCAGAGATATTTTGGCGCCAAGAAAGACGTCAGCTTGACGTGGAAGTGCGTCTGCGGAGTTCCTTCCGAAGTGCGCGTGTTATGAAAATTTTCGGTGTCTTAGTCGTACGGCCGCTTGGGGTGTACTCTCGAAGCTAGAAATGCATCGTTTCCATGGTGCCAAGTGAAAAGATAGATGTATACGTTGTTTGATTTGTAGATGACTGCCGTACTTGGAGAAATAGAGCAGAAATTAGCGAAATTAGAAAATAGAAGTTAGTTGAGAAATTAGCGTAAAAGTCTCGGTGTGTTTTTCATTTGCCACTCGATAGAATAGAGTATTGGCGTATTTTGGCCGAAGGGTCGGGGAGGGGGGGACAATTTGGCGCCCACACTACAGAGCGGGGGCGCCTAATCCCACCGGAGCCATAAAATCAGGGCAGAAAATGATTAACTCCAGGGGCGCCAGGGGAGGGGGGGGGGGGGGCGCTCCTTAGTAAAACACGCCACTGGAATAGAGGCTTCTCCAAGGAAGCCGATGGGAAACGAAAGCTTCGTTGAAGGTAGAATTGCCAATGGGGAACATGAAAAAGATTAGGCTTTCAATGGAAGCCTAATTGCTCATAGATAAGGTGTCTCTTAACAATAGAGTTCTCACAAACATGAGCTTGAGCATAGCAGCAGAGCGAGTTCATTCCTTGATTATTTAGTGCCAAGGCCCCAAGTAGCCATTCCTAGCATTGAGGGAGGATATTGTCAGGCAGTGCAGGGGATTCGCGCGGGGATATCCAGACTTCTCTTCATCTAATGATGATGCAGATGGGGTTAAGCGTTGAGGGGTGCAGAGATTGTGCGAAAGGGCAAGAAATGAAGGGACTCCAAGGTCGGGTCATTCGCGGGGGGTCCGAGGTTCAGTTTCATCTATCTCCTTGCTTCTAGCTTGGACCTGGAGATCTGGGGCCCGTTCCTCGCCTGTGCTAAACTTAAATCTAAATCTTAGTCTAAAGCAGGGGTGTCAAACTCAAATCGGTCGACGGGCCGCATTCCTTATCCTGGAGATGCCTGCGGGCCGCACCCATACTTTTTCAACGAATTTTTTGGGAACAGTCAATCCAAGCGAAAATTTCAACAGGCGGCGGGCCGGATGAATCACCTGCGCGGGCCGTATGTTTGACACCCCTGGTCTAAAGGGTCAGAGCGATGAATATAATTTTTGCATTTAGATTCAGATTTAGATTTAGATTTAAGTTTAGCACAGGCGAGGAACAGGCCCCTGGACTCGTCTTCCCCCCTCTAGTTCTTCCTCCTGCATGCCTATTCCCTCGTCTTTCCTTTGAAGATGAAGTTGTTGAAAAATTTAACTTGCTATCTTTCTCTGGAGTTGGGCTAACTTTGCGGTTTCTGCATCTTTTGGGGAGAGGAACATTACTCCTTACCTCCTCCGTTCTAGGAGAATGACGAAACGACGAAATTACTCCAAGTCAAGTCCCTTCTCGATGATAGGCAAAAGCATGAGCCAATACAAATGAGCATGTCTCTTTCTGGATGCCGGTGTCCCACGACCCAATCCTCTTTCAGTGGGGTCGGCGAGAGGACTCGGAAACTTTCATGCATGATCCAAACGAGAAATCGTCCCCCCCACTGGATAAACAATAGTAGGTAACACTACAGCGACTCTTAACAGTGACCTTGAATGGGATCATTTTCTTTCCCACCTCGGTCTCACCTTCTCGATTAAGTGGAGAAGGCGTGGATAACCATCGTGCTATGAAATTAATGACACTCTCGTCGGGTTCTGAATGGCATGGAAATGCGACCTAACCCTTAATGGCATTAATGGGGGAAATTTGAGAAGTTTGCTAAGGCAGTTGTCTCTTGAAGTACTAGTGAGAACTAGACTTGTTTCTCCTTCAGGAAACTGTTACCTGGAACTAATGCAATTTGAAAAAGCAAACTCTGGTAGGCCTACCTATAAATATAGTAAGAAAATAAAGATATCTGCACAATCAGGTGTGAAGTTGATATTGTGAGACACCTTGTGAATGTTATCTCACATTCCAGTGCTATGTCCTGGTACCGGTACTCAAAGTTTATTTTAGAATCATGACACCATAAAAAAGAAGAGGAATCAGAAGACGGACAAGGGAGAGCATAGAAATGAAGAAATTATCTACAATGCACCAATGCAGGAAGAATCATCACACTTCACAAGGCAGCAAATTTTGTTCCCTTTCCTGTCTGGGAGATGTTGTCTTGAACACAGCTCATGGCAACATTCGCTCTTGTTCCCCTCAAATACTGGTTCACAGTCCAAGAAACCACGGAAAAAGCTCTTAGTGTCCTTTCAACTTCAAAGTTTCACATCTGAGAGCTTCCGTCGGAACAGGAGGATGTGAGGTTCTGTTCAGATGCAGAAAAAAGAAGCATGATTGAAGTGAATAAAAAGAAAAAAAGTATAATTGGTTCACTGGCATTCATGTAAGGATTGTGCCTCTTGATTGTACCAATAAGAAAGGTACACGTCTCAAAGTTGCTTAATTACTGCAGAGGGGGTGCAAGTAAGAATGACATAAGAGAAATATATATATATATATGGGGAAGGCACACAATTTTTTGCCATTGGCATGACCTTTCTCTTATTTAGCTATGCACAGGGGTTCACAAGGAAGGGGGAGAAGTGAGCACTGATAATTTCTTGCTGGTGCGAAATGTGAATAGGCTAATTCAAGACAAGAAGCATGATCCAATTCATGATTGCAGGGAAAAATTTGAGAGCCACTACACTTAGAGAACTTGAACTTCCTTTGGTACCTGGTAACAAGCTCTCTATGCACATTTCATGGGATTCCCTGTTGGGACACTGAATTTCATTATAGTCAAGAGCATTAAATAGGCCATACCTGGTTCATGGATCATGAAGTGCTCCCAGCCAACACTTTGTTGGATGCCGAATGCTCTCCATTGCTTTTCACTCATGAGGCCAACCTCTTTCAAGGACTTTCCAAGATCCTTGGGGCAGTGAATGTGCCTATGAAAGAAAATAGTACCCAGTATGAATTAAACTTGTATTCCATGGCATTTCAGTTTCAGGCTGAATGGTCTAAAACTTCATGAGACGCTATGGACCAAAGAGAACTAGGATTGTTTTAGTAAGCCCAGTTCTGGTTTACAGGATTCAAGTCCATATCCACTCACCTATATTCATAGAGACCATCAGTGTACTTCTCTGAATAGTGAATATCTTCTAGTTTTACTCTGATGTCAATTCCAGGATTGAGAGGCATGTTGCTTTCTGGAGGTTAGCCTAGCACTGAAGAGGGCCTATTCTCATAAAAAGTGAGTTCAACACACCTATATTACTATATAGAAAAGGAGAAACACTTCAAGAAGATAACCAGGCCCTGGTTATATGCCTTGAATTGGTTTATTATACAAATCAAACCTGCAGAAATAAAAATAATGCATTTATACATTATATCCTCACATTCCAAAAGCAAAACTTAAAAAGAAAGAAAGAAAAAAAACAGAAGGCCATTTTATTATAACTTCTTGGAAACAGTTGACATAAGCCTGGCAGGTAAGAACTACCTTTGCCTTTCTTCTGTTCTTACTGCATTTCAAGAATCAAGAACAGTAATTTGGAAAAGTAAGTGGAAGGGGATTAAGAGAAACATGGATGAGTAGTGGAGGAAGTGACAACAATGTAGATGACTAAGGAGGTGGAGACTTTGCCTAAAGTCAAAATTGAGGAGACAGAACAAGATCTCTCTGAAAAAAATAAATTTGAAAATCTCCAACAGAGACTTAGTAGCAATAGCAGGATAAAAACAGTACCCTGTTTACATGCTTTTCAAGAAACCCTGCCTATATTATAGAATTTCCCATTGCAACATCTGACAAGAGAATAAAGCATGCACTTATGCTATTCCAATATTGAAGCTCCTTTAAAGGTACCACAAAAAAGAAAAAAACGTTTGGTATTGGTATTGAAGGGGAAATCATAAGCACCACAGACCAAACATCATTCTCTTCAATAACTTGGGGTGGAAAGAGACAAACAGTCAAGAACTCTGCTCAATGTAATTAGCTGATTCCACAATTCACTTAGATTGGGAATTAGGCTTTTCTCAGGCAACCTTCAACAATAGCTCCTAGCACCAAAATTGGAAAATATATCAGGTTCTGCGAGAACCTACAGCTCTTGATCTTAAAGAAGTTTAACATTTGTCATGAAGTCAATTTTAAATTATTGCAACTGATGATTTAAAACCTGGGTAAGTTGATATGTTGTTTGTACCTTTTATCACTTTTCCTCATCAATTTAAGAGTTGAGGATTAAAGGAGGAATATTCCATTGGAAAGTTTTTTCTCTTTTGCAGCTTATGCTCAAAGAGCTTCCCATAGATGAATATGTGGTTCACATCTAGGCTTACTTTAAACTCCTTGTATCAATGATGTGAACTCAGGATAAAAAGGCAATTTCATACACCAAGTATAAGAGAGCTTCTGTCCCTTGTCCCATAAGGTATTGATGGAAAAACAGCATCTCAGATAAGCCTTGAGTATATCACTTGGAAGAAATGGACAATTAATTATCTTTTTCTAGAGAATTCATTTTATTCTTTGGTTCTAAGCCTTGGTAAAAACATCATGCAAGAGTATGAAAGTCATATACAGCAATACCTTTTTGGCTTCAATGCTATAGAAGCCCTAAAGAGAAGGGCCCCTTGCTGTCACTATAATTACAATTTAGATTTGACATCCCAAAGAATGGTGGCATGATCATACAGGGCTCTCATTGCACACCGTCCAAGCATATCTTTGAGATCGGGTGAATTAATCAGAGCATCTACAAAAACTCACATCTCTTGCAAGGAATAAAAATATCAGATGGACATCATATTGGGGCATTGGCAGTCTCAAGCACAATCCTCATTAACATGTGGTATCTATAATTTCCCATTTCTCTAATGGAAGCAGAGAAATGTCTGTCATTTCCAACACTTATCAATATCAGCCTAATATCCTTGTTTAGCTAAACAATAAAAACTGCCTCCATACTAATATGAAACTTAGACATTTTGAGCTTTATTCATTTTGAAGGTAGGATTACATTAAAATGCTTTGAGAATTTTTCAAAATATTATGATTACTGGCATATATTTATGATGAAGAGTTTTATAAAGTTAAAGAGGTTTGTGAAAATGTACAAGCAACAATGAACAACTCGGTCATTTTTTATTTTCAGGTATTGAGTTGCCTGAAGGAACTATCTTCAGGTGAAACCCAGGTAAATGTTATATACCACAACAGTAAAAAAAAAAAGAAAAAAAAAAAACAAACAAAAAAACTGGCCAATTGTTTTGGCTACTTACCACCTGCTGACACTGAGCAAGTCAGCATCAGCAGGTGGTGGTGGTATTGTACATACCTTCCAATACCTCATGAAGACTTAAATTAAGTACTCATATCTCCCTACTCAATATAAAGAGCTCAACTCCTTTCATGTGAAAATTTACTGTTCGGCAATACAAGCTGATACCGACGTTGACGTGAATACGAGTTCAATACAGTTGAACTTGTTTCAGTGACAGGTGTTTCATACCTTTCACTCCACACACTCCATGCACAGGCATGTCTTATAGGCTCATCCACGCTCAAAGTATCGACCCAGTGACGCTTAGGCTAAGCCAAACCAGTAACCGGAGATCTGAAAAGCCTAAGCCGAAGTTCTTAAGCATGCCTTTTCTTATGGCTTACGCAAGCCAATGAACATGAAAGGCCTGCATTGGACCCAGAATGTGCGCTTGCAAAGGGAGATTGGCCACTCGCTCCCACAGAGATTCCGCTCCAGAACACCTGGCACAACTGATTCTTGTCCTCCAGTACGATAAGATAGCATACGATACGATACGAAGTGCGCCATTAAAATCAAATGACATGCACTCTCACTGCCGCCATCCCTACCCAGTGATGTCCAGTAAGAGCAATGAGTTCAAGATATATACCGATGCCTTTCCTTATACCAAACTTATTCAAGAGGCCTTCTAAATTTGATAACCCTCGACAGCAATCGACTTATATAAACTTAGGCTATGCAACATTTGGCTCTAAGTCATCGAAGATAGCCATTAGTGATAAGTAGGCCCCTTGGAAACCGGGAAGTGCCAGTGACAGCCGTGCCCGACTCATGGCGCATCCCGCACAAACGTGGAATAGAATGGTCCGCCTGCAACATATTCCTCTGGTCTCGCATGCAAGAAGGATGTGGCGAATTTCAGCATTCATTGATTTGTCCAGTACGGTTAGGGCTAGGCTGTTCTAGACCTGAACCGTAGGGCCTGTATGAAGTTCCACAGGGCTCTGTTGGCGTAACGGTTGGCATATTTGTGAATTATTCATGAACATGCTATTCTTCATTTGACAACTTACGTCCTGTAGGCCAAGTGGTAAAATTCTTTTTTAACGTCTCCTAAACTTCATGTGGGTTTATACCAATATAGAAGGTCCTCTAGCCCAGTGCTTTTCAACCGTTGTTGTGGCACACTGGTTGCGAAGCACTGTTCTAGCTCACGGCATAATTTGTCAGGCATTGTTTTACGAAAGAAATCAACCCCTGCTTTTCTTTTTGTTTTGAGTGCGTTGAAAATCGCAAACTTCTCATTTGTATGGTGTCTCCTACTTGCTGTTCGCTCATGATGTATAGCATCTCTGTATCCTGAGTTTGATTTCCTGTTCGTCTTACCTATTTGGTCTCTTTCCCATCATCTCCATATCTATCAATTACTCCATATTTATTTCATTGAAAGTGGAAGAGAGTAAAAAAGTGCATTAGACCAGGAATTTATTCAGGGAAAAAATGAATTTGAATGATTTTGAATGAATGAATGAATTGAATTTGATTTGTATGATTGATGATTTGAATGAATTTGAATGAAAAGTTGTGAGACATCACAAAAAAAAAGAAAGGAATAAAAAGCATGGAAATGGAGATAGAGTTCTTATGCTCTTGGATAACCTGGGTTGCCAAGGTTGGAAACTGGACAAGCTCTTTTTCCATCACCTCCAGAAAACAACTTTATCTGCTTTAATTCAGCCACTCAACTTCAGTGAAAGATACCATGAGCAGTGACTTCCCAAACCCTCCTTTTTATATTTGAATTTGTTTTCCCTTTTCCTACTGGCATAATTATGCTTATATTAATGGGGGAAAATCCTGTTCATTCATTTAATCTAGTTTTCAATGCCTACCATTAGACATCAAGTTATGGGGTTTTTTTTTTTTTTTTTTTCAGGTGTTTACTTGTGTGCCTGTCATATAGTTCCAATATGGGCCCTATGGGAGATTCTTTTGCAGGTCTCATCAATGAAATGAGTGAAGGAGATCTACCAAATTTGATTTTGAGGGTACTTGACCTTCTCTCTCATCAAGTTTCACCCAGCATCATCCAGACAGACAAGGTGCTTGTGACACTGGTGTTCAAGTCAACCCAATATCAGACTGAAGAAGTGCATCTTCAATTGTCAGAGCTGGCACAATTCTTCAAAAAGGTGAATCTTTTGTTGGCCTAATACTAGTACAAATACAGATTTGTAAAAGTTTTTAATTTGAACTGCTTGATTCTAAAGGTTATTTTACAGATATGTGTGGTAATCAAAAAGTTATAAATGTGAGGCACTTCCAGTTGCAATATACCTTGTTTACTTTTCTCGCAAGAAGACAGATGTATTTGATGGTGACTGGCTAAATTTCATTACATTTGTCCATTAAAGGTAGCTTTCATTAATTTTTTTGGTTTGCTACCAAAGGGTCTGCTGAAGTGCTAAGTAGTAATAAGCTCATGAGAACCATCTGCAAAAGATGACTGGGAAGGACAGTGTTTAAGTGTATTCTCCACTCTACTACATTAGCTCTTGTCCATTCTCAATGCCTAGCTTCTTTTCAATGCATGCCAATAGTATTGTTTTGGCTCATTGAAGTCTGATGAAATTTTGAGAATCACTTGGAAACATACAAAGTGAAAGTTTTTAAGTGAAAGTTTTGCAAAAATAGCTCCTTTGTAAGTGGAGATATTAAGTTTAAAAGTCATTGGTCTTTTTTGCCCTACTTTGCATACAGTCCTTTATGGTGAATAGAGGAGGTGTGGGGGATTGCAAATTCCTGTGTCCCTCTTCAGTTTGTAAAAATATGTGTATGTTTTGGGTCAGTGAGCTTGATACTTTTTTTTTCTAATTTCTTTAGAGGAAGGGAGAGATCAGGTATATGGTCATTGTAAGCTTCATGGAGTTCTTAAGAAATTGAATGACATACTTTAAAAAGTAGTTATTATATGTATTTATGGGATTAAAACTATGAGAACTTATGGCTCACAAACAATACCCTGGATTTTCTTCCACTTGCCATGTTACATCTGCTTTCTTGTGGCATGGCAAGGGCAGTATTGGCCCTGTTCCTTGAGTTTTCATGTTCCCAGTAATTCAGAAATGGATTCATTGCTGTTGTCATGATATTGTCTGTTTTTTGCTTTTGTCCAGTGGCAGCCATGATAAAAAATGTTGAATGTTTATGATGCAGGCAATATTTGTTGTGATGAAACCATCAGCACTGGAGGAGGATTTGAGAGGAAAGGGTGTTGATGAGAAAAGAGCAAAACTGATATCCAACCTTTGGAATGAAAAGGCCCATATCTACATCTTACCCCTCAAAAATGTGTCAACTGCAAGTAAACAGGTATGTCTGGTCATGCTTGCTTTGTAGATTCAGAATACTAAAGGCCAGGCTTTTACCATGAGTATGTGTGAAGTAGATAATTTTTTTAATCTGGCAAAGAAGCAAAATTTTTCTTGCAAAAATCTGAAGTATATGATAGGAGCAGAGATTTTTGGAGTGCATTATGAATCTCCTTGGATATGTGTTGAGTACATTATGCACTTCATCAATGTACATACGTAGTCCTGTTTAATCTTCATTCCTGCACTCTTGTGGCATGACTGTCAAATGAATTAGGTAAGAGCAATACAACTAGATATTTTTTATTTTGAGTGACATGATGTAGAAGGCCTAAGTCATCTGATTCTATTTGTCTTTGGTGTCTTTGGCAGCTTGAGGATGTGAGACATGAGTTGAGGGTTACATCAGCAACCAATCTTCAAAGTCAAGTGCTTGCCCCCTGTGCAATTTTAGAATTCAATCTTAGGAATTCAGAGCAGGGTGAGAAATTCCATGTCCAGTTCTCCCATGAAGAACTATTCAGCTTGTATAATCAATTGGAGAGAATGCAGGAACATTTGGACAAGTTATATTGAGCCATCAATTGCAGAAATGGTCTATGAGGTATGGTGATGGCCAATGGATTGGGATTAGAACCTGGCCAAAAATTTTCCTCATTCCATAATGCTACTATTGTGATATCTAAGTTTAAAATCTAAATCTTTATTCATCTATAATAAAGTGTATGATATCCATAATGAATGAGTCATGGTTAATGCTGATGTTCAGTTAGTTGCAGTCAGCTGAATTTTGAGACAGGTGGATTCAAATACTGTATCTTCCTGCTCTTTGTTAATCCAGTAAGACCTTCTCTTATGTGACTCCATTGTTCTCATCCCAGAAATTTCATGCAGCATTTTATCAAATCAAAATTATGGGCTGGGATGCACAAAGTAAAAGGAAATTGAATGTAGGATAATGGTGCCTGAGGATAATTCATGGATAATTTTCCAGGATGATAATTCATTATTCATGGATAATTTCAAATTTTCTGTGTTTCTATAAAATTACAAAGGATATTCATATCCTTGACTGCTTAACTCTTTTGCTGCAGTGGTTCACTTTTTTCACCCAGCAGCTAGTCACCTAACCCATATCAATTCTACTGTGCAGTAAGAGTTAATTAAACTGGTTCCAGCATGTTCTGGCATAGATTTTGGAAGATGGCTGACCACACTAAATCATTCATGAAATTGGCACCCTTTAATGAATTGGTGGCTTTACCCTATTCATTTTAACTTAGGTTTCTGTTAGAACTACATTTACAAGGTTTACCAGATTCCCATTTAAGCCAGTGTTAAAATTATCAACTCAATCTGCAAATATTATATTGCAGGAGGCTTTCTTTGCCATATTTTTCATCACTGGGCCTGGGAAGGATGTTGAGATTGCTAATGACATAATTGGGAGTAAAATTGGGATGTTTTTGCATCTGCATTAAGGAGAAAGTTGGCAGATTTCCAAGAAAAAGTCCCTCATTTGTTAGTTCAGTTTTACTCTTGGTAATATCCATGGTTGGTACTCTCATTTCTCAGTCTCCTCACTTTTTCATATGGGTCACCATCATGGGATCTGAGTTGCTTCCTGATCCTCAAATTTCAGATTACTGTGTACTCCTTTTTCATTGGTTTTTTTTTTTGTCTTTTTTCTGTGCCAGTTTAGGTAGCAAGTGAATACCATTTGATTGCCAACAGCTTATCATTGACAAACGCAGTCATAACTCCACCTGTCTTGAAATTCATCTGTTACACAGCACTTCCTAGATTATGTCCAAGTATTGAGTTCATCGTGAGAGGATATGAATGATCCCATTTTATATTCAGTATCATGCAGTTTTTGCCTCACTGCTCTCCTAGGTGTCACCAGTTAAATTGGTCTACTAGATGACCTTTTCAGAAGTTGGACCAGAATCCGCAAAAACTTGTCGTATTGCTGGAAACTGAAAATGCACTGAATGTTTTCTGCTCACACATGGTCAAAATGATCATGGTCTAGGGATTTGTAGAAGAGATGAGCAACACCAGATACCTGGGCAGGAGGTTATCACCTCCTTGCTTGCTCTGAGCAACCCTCAAATGAACCTTAACTTGAGATAAATTAATTTTACTTATTTGAATCTTGGAATACTTGCATTGTGCAAAGATGTATCCATGAAGTTGAAAGGAACCTTTTTTTTTCACTCCCTTAGTAAAAGGGGTATAGACAGGTATTGCTCAGATAGCCTACATTAGACTGAGGCATCAACATTCTTCCTCAAGTGACATCAAAATTGCTCTTGGGTGAGCAGTTTGTTTTGACTTTGGGAAAATAAAAAATTTGGAGTAATCACCCATGATGAATACTTACTAATTTTTAACTTTAAACAGTAACATTTGAAAAAATATATCCTTTAGTACCCAATCCATCCATTTCTAACATCTGTTTTTTTTTTTCTCACATTCAACTAGGTGTAATTCTTTATTTCAGTTGGATCAAGGCTTGGAGATATAAAAGGCACAAACTGTATCAGAAAACTGTATCATGATCTTCAGAAACTTGCTTTATTTTATTGGAAGTACAACAAATGAAGTGAAATGAAATGATGAATGCTTACTAGTGCTGGTGATGCCAAACACAATCCACCTCTGCTGCTTCTCTTGCATATAGTCAATTGTGATGTCTCTTCATTAGGAAAAACTGTAAAGTGGAAAAAGTGAGGAAGTTGTGAGCCATCTGGTATAGAAAACTCAATTGTACACCTTTTGTGCACATTTAATAGTAGCAGATGAATCTCTTTTCTCGCATTGACAATTGGTGAAACAAGACTTGACATGGGAGAGTGTAAGTCTGTAGGGGTGTCATTTGTTCATTTGCAGGCTGCTCATTGTGATCCTTCAGAAAGGCTTCATGACAATTCAGCCCAACTGATTGTAATGGAAGGAGCATCAAAGGCTGTCATCACTCTTCAAGTTGGGCATTTTTCCAATCACATTGGCACTCATTGGTGGAACCTCCAGGTGAGGTCACATGAATGCATGTTTTTTGAACTGCTGCACTAATCAGATGTATTATAGACTTCCTGTCAAATGACTATAGCCATGAACCCAGATTTGCACTTCACTTAACAACTTATAAACACAGGAGAGAAAGCATGACTACATAGCTGATCACTCTGGTTGACATGATTATGCATCATGGGGAATTTAGAGTCCCTACTTTGGATTTCAGAGTAAAATTTCAACAAACTGAAGGCTGTCAGAAATGAATGACCTTAAGTAGAAGCATAAGCTATTGAAACCCTCCATCTAACTTACAGGGTTGCTAAAAAAAAAAAAGCTATTGACTTCAATGTGCTATAAATCAGGCTGCAGTGCCTTGATTTGAGTAAGCTTTTAGGTACACATGGAACAACTCTTTTGCAGCAGATATAAAATTATATGGTATGATATGCAATTTTTGCTTCATCTGGATGAAAATGGTCATCCCTATTTGGAAAACTGCTGCAACAGTACCTAGGTGCCATTTGAGTTGGAGTAGAGGCAGCTGTTATTTGTAAGAAAACATTTTATCTTCTGTATCAACATTTTAAGATGTGTTTCTTCCATCTCCCAGATTTTTTTTTCCTAAAGCAAAGCTATGCCAAGCTACGTGCATAAAGACTTGGCTGTGATCAAGCAAGACCTTGCAAGTTTAAAAACAGGAACAGCAAATTGAAAGCAAGGTAGTTGAAGGCCTAGAACCCAAAAAACTGAAGTGAATTCTGTAAAACTTGAAAAGCACGTATTGAATCAGGAGCGTCAACCTGAAAATTTGTTTTACCAGAAAATTCATTAATCATTTTTCTGACTTCCCATCCCTTTTAAACTCAGGAGGTTTTGATCACTGCCAAGTCTTCATGCAAGTAACTCAGTATTGCCTTGTTCTACTAAAAAAAGCAACAAAAACAAACAAACTTGTTGGAACTGGAAGAAACACATCCTAAAACATTATAGAAAAAATAAATACAGGAAATGAAATGTGTTCCTAATAACAACAGCTGTCACTGCTGCAACTCAAATTGCAGCTGGGGACTGTTGCAGCAGTTTTCCAAATGGGGGTGGCGATTTTCATCCTGATAAAGCAAAAAACTTGTGATATACCATACAATTTTATATCTGCTGCAAAAGATATGCTTCCTATGTGCCTAAAAGCTTACTCAAATCAAAGCACTGCAGCCTGATTTACAGCATGTTGAAGTCAATAGCTTGGTTTTTTTGAGTCACCCTGTATATTACTCCTTCCCATATATGGAGAAAAATATGTAAGACTTTTAATCATGCCTGCACAGCTGAGAGAGTTATGACTGTAGATGGGACTACCTGAATGACAAGAAGTGCATCAAGATCATGATTACTTGTACACATTATCAGTGCTACCTGATAAACTAATTAATACAGTACTTAGTAATATGCTCAGATCTTTCAATAAAAAGTATAAGAGAAGTAGGCAGTTAAGATTAAAGAATGGAGCATGGAAAATACAACACCAACAATAATGACACACCACTTCTTTCATTGTATTTGCAGGAGGCATCATTCCGCTACACCGGACCACCCTCTGAAATAAACCATGATGTCTTCTTCAGGGAAGGGAAAGGACTGAGGGTAAGTCCATTTAGGCAGTCTGAAGTGTTTTTCAAGAGGAGCATCCAGTTGGTCAATACAAAATCAATAGCATAGGCATCTTGTTACCATGCTAAGTTTCTTTTTGCCCATCTGTCTAAGTCACAGTTCCCTATAACCAATAATTCTAGATGTATCAACATTTTAACCCTCACACTGGCAAACTTCCCTTATTTTTATTTCTTGTGAACAACAGCAGTTTGTGACAAGAGTCATGTAGGATTTAAAATTCCATCATCAAAAAAGACCATGTCCTCATGATCCATTAGATATCTGGATCAATCTCATGAGGGCTTATGAGACATACCTCACGAGATCTTGTGCCATTAACCCTGTTTCCCAATAGAAAATGCTTCATGAGGTTTTCGAACAGAAGTCTCATGAAAAATTCCTGAGGTCTCATAATCCTCATGAAGACATTCCAAAGCCTCAAGAGTAACTTTGCAATCCTCATGGGGAATTAGGCAGGTCTCATGAGTCTATAATGAGGTTTTTTCAATAGGGTATGAGAGGTGGCTTCTAGGAAATGGATGACAGACATTAATTAAGGAATCAGATTAGTTTAAAGATGAGATAAACATTTTATTAAAACATGCTTAATGTGTTTGTCTTTGATGTGCACTGCAGAAAGTCAGATTAGTTTCCATGAGCACATTTATCCATGATTTAAACTAATTTAAAGGCAGTGTGGTTGCAAGTGGAAAGAGAAAGATGAGTATTGTGCCAGCTGCTGTTCCATTGTCCACACCAAGTTGGCGTTGGTGTCCTTTGAAAGACAAAACCTTTGGAACTCTTCTCCATTGAACCATTCAAGAGGATTAACACGTTGGCGACAATGCGTCCTGATGCCAGGATGCAGATTTTTTTTCAATGAATACCCTCTGGAACTGTTGAGAACGTTCCAGAAGATTATGATTTCATAATTACTGATAAAAATTCCTAAAAATTCAACATTTTAAAAAAACTCGGCAAAAAAATGTTTTATGGGACCATGTGTCTTGATGGCAGGACGCATTTTTTGACAAAAAAAAATGCGCGTGGTCCCACGCGGCGGACAAGCAA